GTCATCCTTACAATTGCTGTTGTGTTTGAGCCCATTGTTACTGCCACACATCATGCATTTTGTTGGGGATCGTCCTCTTTTTTTTGTCAACCCACCACTTTCTCAAGAATGATATCTTCTTCAGGAACTGGTCTATCCTGACATCATTTCCAAAGTACGAGAGACAAGTCTCTCCCACCTGCTCCCAATAAACATTCTGGCTAAATTTATTCCAAGACAGATTTTGTATGTTCTTCAGGCAGTGCAATATTTCAAAATTTATCTTCAACACATTATTGACATGTATCAATTCTTCTACAGTCTTCCTTATTCATTATCTAACTTTCACATGCATATGAAGGGATTGAAAATACCATGTTGTGGGTCTTCAAAGTGATACCTTTACTATAACAATTTAAAGAGGTCTTTTGCAGCAGAATTGACTAATGCAATACATCCTTTGATTTCTTGACTGCTTCTTCCATGAGTGTTCACTGTGAATCCAAACAAAATGAAGTCTTTGACAACTTCAATATTTTCTCTGTTTATCACATAGTTTATTAGTCCAGTGGTGAGAATTTTAATTTAATTTACAGTGAGGTGCAAGCAAGGTTGTTTCATCTGCATATCACAGGTTGTTAATGAGTCTTCCTCCAATCTTGTGCCACATTCTTCTCCATATAATAAATACAATTTGTAGGATTATTTGTTCAGCAAACACATTCAATAAGTACGGTGAAAGGATACAATTCTGGTGCACATTTTTACTGATTTTAAACCATTCATTATTCCCTTGCTCTGTCTAAATGAATGCGTCTTGGTCTATATTAAAGTTCCTTATAAGCACAATTAAGTGTTTTGCAATTTCCATTCTTTGCAGTGTTATACAGGTGTTATGATTCACAAAGTCAAATACTTTTGCATAATCAATAAGGTACAATAAACTTCCTTCTGGTATTTGTGGTTTTCATTCAAGATCCATCTCTTCCATGTCCTCTTGAATTCGGCTTGAATTTCTGGATGTTCCCTAGTGATGTACTGCTGCCACTATTTAAAAATTATCTTCAGCAAAATTTTATTTGTGTGTGATATTAATAAAAAATATTGTTAGAATATTTCCAAATTTCCTTGGTTCACCTTTCTTGGGAATGGGCATAAATATGGATTTCTTCCAATCAGGTGGACAGGTGAGCACCTTCAGCACTGTATCAGTTAACTGAAACATTTCAATTTGTATTCCATCAATTCTTGGAGCTTTGTTTTTTTTTTTTTTTGCCAGTGCCTTCAGTGCAGCTTGGACTTCTTCCTTCAAAACTGTCATTTCTTGATCATATGGCACCTCTTGAAATGATTGAAAATTGATTTTTTTTTTTTTTTTTGGTACAGTGATTCTATGTATTTCTTCCATCTTCTTTTGATGCTTCCTGAGTCATTTGGCATTTTGCCGATGGGATACTTCAATATCACAGCTGGAAGTTTGAATATCCTCACTTCTTTCAGATGGTTTACCAACTCCAGATATTTGCACATTTCATTATAATATTTTAGTTTGTCTTCTCGATAAAGCAAGATATCATAATGCCCTTTACGATTTCCTGTTCAAATCTTTTACTTCATCATTTCTTCCAGTCACCAGGACTCCTCCTGTAGGATAAGCACTGGGCTGTGAAGTACAAGGGCAGAAGTTCAAACCCACCAGTTGCTCCTTGGAAACCCTGTGCAGGGTTCACTATGAGTTAGTATTCACTTGACAGCTCTTAACAGCAACAGCAATATTGAAGAGCAAGTTTCAGTCTCTTCCGACATCCATTTTTGTCTTTTTATT